GCGACATGTAGCTAGCCTAGTTAAACCCTTAAACTGGTATAAGACAACATTATCAGTACCACAGGGCAGCAGTGCACCACAGGGGGCGATAGAGTACAGAAGGAATCTGTGGTCGGCATGTATGGTGTCGAAGAGATCCTGCCTAGGGCCCAACAGCCTGTCGGCTGCTACGCTCAATGTCTCTCCAAGGGAAAGCTAGGCACCCATAAAACAAGCAGATGCTCACACTGCATAGTCCCATGGCTCAGGCTACGCACCGCACAGCTCCAATGCATAGCTGGGCCACAGAGGAATCACCACTGTACTGCCCTTCCCATGGCCCGACCCTGGTACCTGTAGGTGAGACACCTCAGAACCGATCTACTCTCCGGATCTCCCGGGCAGTCTTGCAGCGAAGCCCAGGATGCCGACCTCCGGCGCGATCCCTGACTCCTTGCAGGCCTAGTAGGCCTAGCCCTCAGGGGGAGAGAGCTGTCCAGTGAAGGGGTGTCCAGCCAGTCAGGGACTGGCACTTGACGCGAATGTTCACCTCTGCCAACAATCACTGAGAACGGGAAGCCCCACCGTTAAGGGATCCCTCTTGATTGCAGTAGATCAGTAAGAGGCTTTAAAAGGCGCCTGTGGTACAGCGTTTGCGGGCAAACATCTGGTAGGATCTGGACCTCAGCCCCATCAAAGTCCACTGTACCCTGCCTCCAGGCTCTGCGCAGTATCTCCTCCTTTATTGCGAAAAAGTGTACTCGGCAGAGGATGTCCCTCAGTCTATTTGCATGAGCTCCTCTAGGGCCAAGGGTCCTGTGCACACGATCCAGTTCGATCTGATCTGTCGGGGGCTTACCCAGCAGACCATTGAAGGTCACGGCCGCCCTGAGATCGGATCCACCAGTGGCCTCCGGGATGCCCCGCAGCCTCAGGTTGTTCCGCCGGTTACGGTTCTCCGAGTCCTCCAGGCGAACCTGGAGCTGGATCGTTTGTGCCCTCTGCTGACCCAGGGAGTCTTCCAGCCGGGTGATCCTGCTCTCCATCGAGCGGTCTGCCTCCTCCAGTGCCTCTATGCGCTGCGTATGTTGGGCTACCCCCACTCTCACGTCCGCCAGGTCCGATCGCAGGGAGGAGGCCAGTTGAGAGATCATGGCCTGCATGTCCTCTTTTTAGTTGGCAGCACGGACAGGATAGCGCACAGGTCCGACCTGTCCATGAGGCCTAAACCGCCAGGTGTCCCCGAATCCGCCAGCGACAATCGGGCCGCCAAATCCAGCATAGGGTCCGGCAGAGACAATGCGGGGGAAGATGAGGTTCCTCCCCGATCCGAAGGTTCCATCTCGGGGAGCATGGTGGTCTGGCCGCTGGAGACTTTGCCGGGGTGGCCGGAGATATTACAGTAGGCCGCGCACACATGGGTTGTGCTGCTGGGCCTCGGGCCTGAAAGCCCACCGCGGTCTGTGAGAGTCCAGGTGAGCCTGCACACGAGGGCGAGGTGGAGCGCGGGGGGTCCGCGACTTTTTACCCCCTCTAGACATAGGGCGAAGTGGTATCAGGAAGATCAACTGTAGAAGAAATGCTCCCTTACTCTGTGGAGCTCTCCTCACACGCGTCTGTTCACAGCCATGGTCAGGCCACGCCCCCCTGCTTTTTTACTGTTAATAGTTTTCAATAGTTTTTTTGGGGGATGGCATGTTTAAAAATGATCAGCCCCGGGCGCCACATATCTAGGTATGTGACTGAACACAACTCTTTTATTAATGAGCTATAATACAAAAATATCTGTAGCACCAGCCGGATTGTGGTAAATTATCGATCCTGACAAATTAAAGTGGCAATGGCTCACTCCTTGCTTGATGGATAGTTGCAGGGAGAGGAGAGCTAAAAAAGGATCTTCATTGGTTGCTGCAGCTTGAAAAAGCCCATCCCTAGTAACCACTGTAAGGAAAACTGAGATTGTCTGAAGAGCATCCTGGGTAACTGTTGATTTATGGGACTGCAGGGACTTGTGGGAACTAAAGTCCAGACACAGGAGACATGTTAGCAGCTAAAAGAACATAGAGTTATTGCTCCCAGAGTGCCTGGAGAGAGAAAAGGAGGAAAAGACTGTATAGGAGAGGAAGGGAATGTGGAAGGAGAGAGGGAGAGCACACAGTTGTTCTAGTCTGCCTGCCAAGCAATCTGCTGAGTACAGTTACAGATCGCTTCTGCTAGTTCTAAAGTTGTCAGTGAGAGAAAAGGTGGCTGCTTCTGTGGAAAGCAAGTGGATTCAAGACTGCTACATGAGATCCTGAGAATGCAGAGGAACCACCACTATGCCTGTGCTAGAGGACATCTGGGTGGTCGCTGAAGGCTGGCTCAAGAGTAAGAAACCCTTTTGTGGGCCCAGGTACCTCTTTTGTTCTTGTAGGATCACCTGGATACCTTTTTGGTAGTCTTATACCATCCTACCAGTTTACTGGTGTTTTTTAGAAGCTCTCCAACGGAGGGCCCCAGCACCGGCAAGACTCCACTTAGCCCTACTGGCCAGTAGTCTAATAAGGAGAGTGATTGCAATTAATGGGGTAATTTGCCTTATTGTCTCATAAATACCTTGCTTGGGCTTGGGGGAAATAGTACTGGCAAATGGGGGTAATCTTTTGTTGTATTCTGTACACTGGCCTGTACATTACCAACTCCTGACCCTGTTCACTGTTCATTATGCACCTCTGACCCCTGCACTCTGTGTGATGCGCACTCCTGACCCTTGCACTTTGTATGCACCCCTGACTCATGTACATTGTGAAGGGAATTTTTCAAAACTGGAGCAGACAGAATCTGGAGCAGTTGCCCATGGCAACCAATCTGCTTCTCACTTTCATCTTCAAAGCTTAACCGAACAAACTGAAAAGGAAAGCTGATTGGTTACTGTGGTCAACTGCTCCAGATTCTGTCTGCTCCAGTTTTGATAAATTCCCTCGTGTGTTACAATGTCCCAATGCTTTTCAATGGGAAATTTCTCTTTTTTTTTTTATTTTCTATTCTGACATCGCTCGTGTCAGAATAAAGAAAAAAAGACACATCAGTGCTTCTCTCCTGGGCGGCCGGGAGCGGGAGGCTCCCAGAGCGCCCGGGAGAGTTTTTTTTTTTTCTTTTTCTTTTTACAGCAGCAGAGCCGCCGGACAATAGAAAACTATTGGGCGGAGCTAGCTGTCACTGCTAGCTCCACACAATCGTTTTCTATTTACTTTTTTTTGCTCTATTCACTCTTTTTTTCTGTTCTGCTCGGTCCCTCTGAGGGACCGAGCAGAACAGCCGAGTCGAATGTCGCTCAGCGGCATTTGGCTATTCATCCACTGCTGTTCGGCATTTTTAAGAATAGCTCGAACAGCAGTGAGAAGCCTGCCGGAGGTTCGGCTCAGCCGATCCAGATGTTGGATCGGCTGAGTCACTCCTTCTGCACTTCGGGTGGGGCGAACAACCTTGGGATTTAGTTCGGCCGACCCGAAGCCACTCGAAGCAAACCGATGTACGGCTAATTTCAGCCGATGTACGGCTGAAATTAGACGTACCAGCCTGAAGTGAATAGCCGAACAGTGTTCGGCTCACTTCACTTCAGATCGGTCATTCACTCAGCTGCCCTCGGCAGCTTGGTGAATAGACCCCTTTGTATCTCTTTTGCCAAAAAAACCCTTACCATTTGTACAAGGATTCCTTATTTTGAGCGTGTATATAGCACCTAGGGCATATTCACATATGTATGTGCAGTGTACACTGTTTGCCACTGGTGGAACTACCTCTGGAGCTGACCATACCACTGCAATGAGGCCCAGGGCAGATGGGGCGCCAGTCAGGACCAGGCACAGCTCCCTTTCTATCTATGGCACTAGCCTTGCAGCAGCTCAGCAGTGATTACTAATGACCCTGCCACCTCACCCAGAGCCCATTCCTGTCCTCAACAGGCAGTGATATCTATCACTGCACACTGCGCTACTAGAGTGTGGGGCAGCCATTTTCTGTATGCACTGGCCATTCTTCCTCTTTGACAGTGTTCTCCTTACTGCTAGTTTCCTGAATAGATTAGTGCTGACACCTGTGCAATTTAGCTGGGGACTGCAATGTGCGGTAAAATGTCTGAGTGTGATGCTTTCTTTTCTACTTTGTGTTACACAAAGCACCAACGCATTTCCAACGCAGAGCAATTGACCAAAAACAAACATGATGCAACAGACCACCCTGATGTGAATGGCTTGAATGTTCCTTGCACATTTGTACTCCTACTGACTTTAATGAAGGGGAGCATTCTTCTACCCACGTACACCAATGTAAGGAAGCATTCTTCCACCCACTGACCTCCCCCATAAGGGGGCATTCTTCTACCCACTGACCCCCAACACAGGATATTCCCATCGTGGGATACCTAGACAACCTCCTATAGAAGAAATTGCTGAAATCTGTCCAGAACTATAATGTCAGCAGTCTAGACATTAAAATGGTTTGGTTGGAGCCTAAACTTCAGGATTCAGCACTGGAACTGACACATTGCTTGAAATATCTATGTCTCATTCTAGACACAGCTCAGGCCAAAGGTTTTCTTCCTCAAGTCGAGTTCAGGGCTTGATAGTAGACTCCTTTTTCTCAGCAGTTTCATTTGAGTTCCATTTTCTCCGTTTCTCTCCAGACCCCTATAACACCACATTCTGCCATGGTGGGACAAATTGGTTTAGTCTGTGAAAGTTTCAGTCTGATTGGTGGCTGTTCACAATTAACCTTCTTGGTAAGAACACACCAATAGGCCCTTAGTGAGCTGCTGAAGTCAGTGAGTGTTGGAAATGCAACAACATGTGTTAATATGTAATGATTTGTTTTACTGACATTAAGAGATGTAATATTGTCTTTTGCGCACTAGATGGCACTGTAGTGTAATTTCCGTCTCTATGCGTATGCATGTTTATCTATGATCTATGTTTGCTGTTGATGCTGTATTTCTCTATACATATATGCAACTTTCTTGTAAGCAAGTAAAGCCTGTTCTTGGTCAGTGTGATCTGCGGTCATTGAGGAAGTTGTGGTCTCTCTCCAGAGGTTTCACACTCCCTTCTTAAGGTGGTCGTACACCTTACAACCATTGTACAACTTTTATTGTCCAGACATCTCACCCTCATTCAATTTTCTTACCACTAGCCCATCATGCACAGACAAATGTAGTTCGCAACTAACACTCGTCAGCACCACCACCTGGCTGATTTTCATCGACTGAAAGCACATCACTGAGCTCGGTCGCAGAATCGTCGCTGTTTTAGGTCAAAATCGGTTTTAGACCAGCTACAAAACAGCGATAGTAAATTAGAACTACTTGCAGAATTGAGTGATAGCGATTCGTTGTGAAATTCCTCAACAGACACTGAAAGAGCATATCAGCGCTCGCTCACTTTTCTATCCTGTGCCGGCAGAGAGTCGTGGCAGGGGAGTGACTGGATTCCCCCACCCCTGTCCGATCCTCCAGCGCTGACTGGCGGAACCGACGGGGACGGGTACAGCTGGCTCTGCCTCTAAATAGGCAGAGCCAGCTGTCACTCACGCAGCTGGGTGGATCCAGACATAATTGTCGGGATCCATTCCGGCTGCGGCGTCTCAGTATACCGCGAGCTACAGCTACTGAGCTTTGGGTGACGGGAGGACGCTAGTTTGTGTCCTCCCGTTACTCTTAGGAGAACTAAGGGGAAAAGCCCTAACCCCTTAGTTCTCCTTTAAGCTTTTTGCCTGGAGTTACGAGTCTTCTTTCCTGGAGTCTATTAAACCTCACTTATCAACAACATTACACTAGCTTTATAAATCTGGTGCAAATATATTCTGTGCAAGTTCAAAAACTCCCAATTGCTTTGATAAATTCCCCCATTATAGTTTCTCCTTAGCTGCCAGCGATTACATCCTTATTAAAAAAAAGTGCATTTATGTCTCGATAATTGGGAGGAATGGTAGCGTTGTTTGCCAAAACACTATTAGATTGTTTCCATTTGGATGCTTTAACTTCATCTCATTGATCAGTTCCATATCTTTTTCATCCAACAGCCATCCAAATATGTCCAGTTCTTTCAGGTGATGCAGTTTAGATACACATCGAAGTAAGGCAATCAGAGTTATCGGTTCTGTTTTAAATTGTACTGAAATGGGTCTGGAGATGCCAAAATGTTGTAATTTTGGCACGTTATCTAAAACATTTAGGAAATCTCTATATCCAGACTGAGTGATATCCATGTTATTGTTAAGGTCCAAAACTTGCAAATTCTTTAGATAGCCGCCTGCACAGACTTTGGCTGTAAAGAAAGTGATATGTATCAATAAGCAATGAAACATCAATTAGGAAAGTCAATGAACTACATAAAGCCATAGGCTCCAAGGTATGCAACTAATAATGCTTGTTCCATTAACTTGGTCACACAAGGTACAATCTTTTCCACAATCTATTTTACGTATGATTTGAGTATAAACATATACAGTATATTCAAAGTAATGGAACTGCGTGAAAAAAACTATAATTGTACATTGTATGTATAATGTTGTAAGATTACCCTTAAACATATGAAGAATCCAACTGAATACAGAACATTTCTCACATTATATAGTTACATCATACAGTGTTAAATCTGCTTAGATTTAATTAAACTATTTTTCATCCCTAAAGTTATTGATCTGTACAATTTAATTCAGCATTAATGGCTGGACTAAATCTTACACAATCCCATTCACCGGATTTCTGAATGATCTAACCTAAACTAAATAGATATTACAATGTGTCTGTAAAGCCTGACCATTATACATCTTAGGTGCATCACTTTAGGTGACATGGCATTGATCTGATTTCTGCAGTGCATGGATTAAGATGGCACCTCTGTCCCTTTGGCAGGATCATTTCCTCCATGGAGCCATCAGGGGCAGAAGGTCAAGCTAATAGAGCAAGTCAAGACACTAGTTTAAACAGGTAGAAATAGGATCCAAAATAGTAGTAGGAAAGCCCCAACGACTAAAACGAGTACGTCTACTAAATGTGTGCTCACCGACTCAGAAGCCCTTTAACAGTAAGTTTTGAAAGTCTAACTGTACCTTACATTGTACAGCAGCCTGCTGTCACCCCCCTGCCACTCTTCTACTTACTTGTCAGTGAGATATCACCCACAAAGCCATAAAGCCACTTGTGAAAACCTATTAAGCTTGCACATATGCACGGTGCACTCCCCATTCAATCCTATACACGATGGGGGGAATTTATCAAAGCGTTCGTGACAGTTTTAGCCTCTTAGATCATTTTTTAATGTGAAAATCTGTTTTCTTCAGAGCTTGCACTACTTTTTCAACTGCATGTTTTTTGCACCTTTTTTGCAAGTGTTTTCATCTGGACTTGTTCTGGGCTGTCTGAAACTGGAGCATCACCTAAGAAAACACTCACAACTTAAGAAGTCCCCACGACAACTTCTTCAAGATGCGACAGTTAAGCTTTTTGCCTGAAGTTAGAAGTCTTCTTTCTTGGAGTCTATTAAACCTCATTTATCAACAACATTACACTAGCTTGATAAATCCGGTGCAAATATATTCCGTGCAAGTTCAAACACTCGCAATTGCTTTGATAAATTACCCCCAGTGTGTTTTGGTGGGGTACAAATGCTCCATAGGACTGAGTGGAGAATACTCAGAACATGTGTGGGCCTGGCTCAGAAGATTTTAAAAAGCTGCTCTGCAGCTTTGTGAGCCATATCTTGGATCTGTGACAGCTTAGTATAAGACAGGCTGGAGACTAAAAAACCTTCAACATGTAAGAGTAAGTATAACTCCAGTCCAAAAATAAGTAAAAGCCCATTAAAAGGAAATAAAACAAGCTTTTGCTGCAATTCTCACCTTTAATCTAGAGCCCCCCTCTCCACAGTACTTTATTCCACTATAATATTTCCTCGGTCATCCCATTTCAATGATGGTCAGCATAATTCAACCCACTTCCTTTGAGCCCCAGCTGTCATGAATTCACTGCCAGCCTGGAACTGCTCAATGAAGGAGAAGCAGCACAGCAACCAGTTCATCTCTGTGTCACTCTGCTTTCTCATTCTATCAGCATTTCTCTTGTCTTGTGGACTGCAAGAGGCTGATACCAGGTCAAGGTATTTACACCACTTAAACTAAAGAAATATAATTTTTTTTTTTTAAATAACTTGGCAAAGGTGGAAATGTGCTTTTAAGTTTTTTCAAATACTATGGAATTATTTATTTGGTGCATTAAAATATTACAAATTTAGTCATCTGTGTGCTTCTAGAATCCCCTGAGGACTAGGGTTGACAAATGTTATACAAGGCTACTAGGAATAGAACAGTCAGGCCCCATTCACACATAGCGATATATCGCGCATTTTTGCCGCGCGATATCGCGAGAAGTCGCCGGCCAATGATCTTCAATGGAGCTGTCTTAGCTCCGTGTCACGTGTCGCTCGTCGCGGTCGCAGCTCACTTCTACAGGACCCTTTTTTCGGCGGATTTTGCGCGATTTGTCTTTTTTCTATGGAGCCCGACGGAGAAGGTCGCGCTACCGTCGCTGGATCGTCGCTGGAACGTCGCCCCGAAAGTCGCGCTATCCCGGCCGCTGCAAAGGTAAGTCGCTACATGTGAATGGGGGCTCAGGCTGATGTCACATTGGCTATTCATAATCATTGCAGTACAGCTCCGCTTTACCAGAAGAAGTCACCCCCTCACTGGCCGCAACACTGCAAAATCACCATTGCTACATGAGCAACATCTTGTTGGTCTGGCCAGTGAGGGAGCCAATTTGATTTGTTGTCTGCAACACTTTCACTCATGTGTAATGACCTTGAGTAATCTAATAGATTATAGAAATAGTAGGACAAAAAGCACTTTTATGGCAGGGCATTGTACCAAGTATATTAAATATATCTCTGCCCCGACAGTGCTATTTATTCTTGCACGTGGGTCATACTTTATGCTGTGTATATCAAGACACAATTTTGTACAATTTGCTGCATAATTGAAGCCGGTCATGTGCAAACAGCAGGCATGTTTGTTGTATGTTCCCAGTAATGTTTTGTCAGTTGTGGCACAGCCCCATGTGCACCTACCAAGCTCTAGCAGGCTGCTGTCCATCAATAGTCTGCGGTTAATGTACAGCTTCCTGAGGTTGGGCATATGCTGCAATTGCTGTATGAAACAGGGCAATGTTTTCCTTGCTGCAATTCCACCTGGGAAAGTGAGTTCTTCAAGCTTCTCTAACGATGCTAAAGATTGGGCTGAGATAAAATATTTAGAAAAAGAAAATTAAATAATTCTGTGTATTCTCTAATAAAGCCCAACTACAGACATCTTCTTTTTAGTTTTAGGATGGGCAAGGAGAACATCATATGTTTTTATTGCTTTCAGTTTCTCCCTCAGGGAGGTCTTCCTTTTATTTCCTTCCCCTCATCATTAAAGTAGGAAAGGAGGAGAAATTGCAAAAAAACAAAGCACTTTTTTTTAGTAGAATGGATAAGGGTTAGAACCTTAGCCAGGTTTTTATTTTTGTATTTGTCTTCACTTGGAAAACTCTCTCTCACTTCCTGTCTCAGTGACACCGAACAGGTTTAAAGGAATATGTCAACCTACACACAAAATAGCAATAAATATCAGATACATCTTCTATACCACTCTATAGAAAACTAGCAAAAAGATTTTGGCGGGAGCTAGGCATTGGCAATAAAATTCTCACAGAAGTGTCTGCCCCACTATATATTAGAGGTATATAATTAGAGGTGCACCGAAAATGAAATTTTAGAAACGAAACCGAAATAGAAATAATTGTCAGGCCGAAACCGATACCGAAAATGTTTTTATTTAAATTTAAAAAAAAAAATTAAATATGTTATTTTTTTTTTTTTTACTTTTAATTTTTTTTATATTTATTAATTTTTTATTAAATATTTTTTATTTTTTACTTTACTTTTAGGGGCTTTGGGGAAATATTAGGGGTCTAAACAGACCCCTGATATTTCCCTTTTAAAATAGAAAAAAGAGATTGAGAACACAGAGTCCTCAATCTCTTTTTCTGTATCATTCATAACTGAGGATATATTAACATACCATGTCCTCAATTATCTGCAAACACTCAGCGATCACTGATCGTGAACACTGCTGAGTGTTTGTACCTCGCTCTCCTCTCTGACACGCTGTCACAGGAGGCTGAGCGAGCGGTGCGAGAGGAGAGCCCAGCCTCCTGTGACAGCACCGTCTCCGCCCACACACCGCTCTGCTGCACTGTGATAGGCGGCCGAGCGGTGTGGGAGGAGAGACACCGGCCGCTAACAGCACTCTTGTCCCGCAGCGCTCGGTCCGCTGTCACTTTCTCTCCTCCACGCTGGGACACACAGCAGTGCCCAGCGGGGAGGAAAGAAATCACAGATGCACCGATATATCGGCGCGGAAAATGGCACTTTCGGCATTTAGCCAAAAGTGCCATTTTCGGCCGATATGTTTCGGCGGCCGATATATCGGTGCATCCCTAATAATAATGATAAGTCCACCAACCAATCACAAAACACATAAGCCTCAGTCCTTCGGCCTCTTTTGCCAAAGCACAAAAGTCTATAGGGTACCATTATCTCAGAAAGCAGAGGGAGCATTAGTAGGCTTGGGACAGAAATCCCCCCAATTTACTATATTTGTTTTTTATTCTACGGAAAACTTTAAAACAAAGTGGACATTAATTTTCCTTTATAAAAGTATAATATTATAACAGTCTATAATTACTCATTAATGATATCTGCAGAAAATAGCTCCAGCTGCTGCCACTGTAATAACTGTGTAATGCAACAATAATGTGATCCATCCCCTACACGAGCACTATAGAAAGGGGAAAGCGGTATGAAGAGAATAACAGAAGAGCTACGGCAGACATATCTATTCAGTCTCATACTTAGATCATGTTTTTATAAATTAAATGGAGAAAAAAAAAAAGACAAATGTATTTAAAATAAATGAATTATATGCAAAAATGTTACCAAATATTTCTGATGATTCAACTTTCAATGAATACTGATTTTCAATTTCCAAAATTTTCAGATTTTTAAGAGAGGGTAATACAGAAGCTGAAAAACAAAGCAAAAAACAATAACCGCAAACGTAAAATGCAAGTTATAATTTAAAGTGAAAAGCTTCTTATATCAGATGATATATCATATACAAAATGTGAAATATTTGGCTGTAGCAGGAGGCAATTTGTTCCTCACAGGGCTGGAGAACGGTACAATATTGAGTGTCTGCAGGTAACAGTAAAGAATGGTGGACGTTCCTTGCAAGTCTGGGGATGCATTTCTGCTAATGGAGTTGGAGATTTTGTCAGGATTAATGCTATTCTCAATGCTGAGAAATACAAGCAGATAAATTTCCATCATGTCATACCATCAGAGAGGCATGTGATTGGCCCCACATTTATTCTGGAGCAGGACAACGACCCCAAACACACAGCCAATGTCATTAAGGACTATCTAAGGAAGAACAAGGAGTCCTGGAAGTGATGGTTTGGCTCCCACAGAGTCCTGATCTCAACATTATGGAGTCTGTCTGGTGTTACATGAAGAGACAAATGGATTTGAGGCAGCTTACATCCACAGGTGGTTAGTACTCTAAGGTGTTTGGAACAACCTACCTGCCGAGTTCCTTCAAAAACTGTTTGAAGTGTACCTAGAAGACTTAACCCCTTCATGACTGAGCTTGTTTTTAGTTTCTGTTCGTAAATGACTGACGCACTTTTTATCCTTTTGCTGTGTGATTCTTCCATGGCTGTAATATACTTTCTTACAAAGTGCACCCACACATATTATATTGCTTTTTAGAGGACAGATAGGGCTATATATTTATATCACATATGGGTACCTAACGCCTCACTTAGGACAAATACAATATAAAAAAAGGAAAAAAACTTAAAGAAAAAACCCTTTCCCCAGTTTTGATTTGTAGTATTTTTAACAAAAATAGCACAGCTAACAAAATGAATTAAATACATTCATTTATTTGGAAAAACCTCACCTCCCTAGGATTGTAGAAATTTTTCTGTACTACACGGCCTAAAACTAAAACCTAACATTTTAATCTTTTTTCTCTAAAAGCTAAAGCTAAAAGTGGTCACCTGACATACAATGTCACTAAGTGTCACACTTAGGGGTCTATTCACAAAGCTGCCGCAGGATCTGGCCGTAGCTTCGGCTGATCCTTCGGCTGGCTTCGGCCCCAGGACCCCTTCGGTTCAGGAGAACCGAGGGGGTGCTGTACGGGCTATTCACAATAGCCCGTACAGCTCCCGATCACGGCCGAGCAGCTCAGTCGAGCGCAACAGTGACATACTGTGAACATCACTGTCATGATGGGGTTTAAAAAAAATTAACCCCTTAGGGTGAAAAACAAATCTGCAGCTCAGTTGCAGATTTTCATTGTAAGGGGTTCATTTTTATATGCAAAATATTTTTAAATGATAGTATCAAAATGTATCATTTTTATTTGTTACATTTCTTTTTATTTGTTACATTTATTTATTTATTTTACACTTCATTTTTATTTTTACACTTTTCACTATTTTTTAAAAACTTTTTACATTTTTATTTTATTTATTTAATTATATCGAGCAGTCATCGTGACTTAATCTCACTATTACTGCTTGATAAATGAATCAATTAATTTTTGGTTATTATTAGGCTGCTTCAAACTTAAGAACAGCCAATAATAACCTTAGTGACACTGATCCTGCAGCATTTCAGGATCAGCTGTCACTGAGACCCCATTCACACTGAGCTACATCCAACAAAGCTTTTTTCAACGCGATTTTGAGCTGAGCAACATTGAGCTAGATTGAGCTACAGTGCACATTTTGTCGCGCTACTTTTCGCAGGGACTTCGTAGCTGCTACATTGGGGTGTAACCAATCAAAAGTGGTCTTGATGTGACATCATTCCTTCCTTCTTATATTTCTGTGCAAAAGTGAAACTTCTGTAGCTCAACGTAGCGCAGCAATGTCGCGCGACATTAAACTACACCATTAATGTCCATTGGGGCCAAATCGCACAAAATCAGCCGAAAAATAGGTCATGTTCGAGCTACAAGTTTGAGCGACGAGCTACAGGCGACATTGAGCTGTGAGATGTGAGCAGCTACATTGAAATGCATTGGACAAGTTTTATTGAGCGACATTGAGCTGATATTTGAGCGATTTTGGAGTTGAAATCTCGCTACAAATTGCTCAGTGTGAAGGTGGTCTAAAGGTTTTCTGATCGTTCCAACAACCATCAGAAAACTGCAACATTCTTTCAGGAATAGAAACAATGGGGGGAATTTATCAAAGCAATTGTGACAATTTTAGCCTCTTAGATCATTTTTTTATGTGCCAATCTGTCTTTCCACATGTGCTCCTGTTTTGACCTGAGCTTACACTACTTTTCCAACTGCACGTGTTTTGCACCTGTTTTCTTCAGAGCTTGCACTACTTTTTCAGTTGCATATTTTTTGCAATTACAACTTAAGAAGTCCCCATGACCACTTCTTGAAGATGCGACAGTTAAGCTTTTTGCCTGAAGTTACAAGTTTTCTTTCCTGAAGTCTATTAAACCTCATTTATCAACAACATTACACTAGCATCATAAATCTGGTGCAAATATATTCCGTGCAAGTTCAAACACTCGCAATTGCTATGATAAATTCCCCCCATGATGTTTCTATTGCTGAAAGTTTTTTGAAAAAGACGGTATACATCGGGATTTCCCGATCTATACCAGCTGTCAGAGTGACGGCATGAGCTGCAAATGTGGCTCTGCTCTCACTTTCAGACACCCGATTCCTGAAGGGGATCGGGTGTCTGAAAAAGGTTAACTTTCTCATTAATGGATGCCTCAATACTGAGGCATCCATCAATGAATGGTAACCGCTGATTCTCAGCGGTTACCAGCATTGTAGAGCAGCAAATGACTGGTCACGTACAGTGTACATGGCCAGTCATTTGTGCACTTCATGACATACAGTAAACGTCTCCCGTCATGAAGGGGTTAATGAATTGATGCTGTTTCCAGTCACACCAAATATTGATTGATTTGGGTTTTTCTTCTGTTCATTTACTTTCCATTTTGTTAATTGATACAAAATAAACCGTTAAGACTTTTACTTCTGAAAGCATTCTTACTTTACAGCATTTTTTCACACCTGCCTAAAACATTTGCACAGTACTGTGTATGTATATATATTCTCTTTCTAGTGTTTTATGAAAGTAGCTTATATATTGGCATTTACAAAATATAAATCATTGACTCACCCAAATGGATTATTTCCTTGTCTATCATTGGTCGGTTAACACGGAGAGTCTCCATTTTTGTATTCTGGCATAAAGAAGTGATAACCTTTTCAAACCCGGGACAATACTTACATTCTATTGTGAAAGATATCAGATCAGGAAAATGTTCAATCATCTTTGCTGCAAAGTAAGTTATATGTTCATAGTGATTAAAATGACAAAGTACCAGGGTGACACATAATAGTACACCAACAAATACACAAATACCAAAACACCCCAATGCAGTAGGTCCTTAATATGCATTGGATATGGACAGGTGCCTTGACAATGTGGCTGAAATTGAGGGTGCAGGGCAATGTGATTCAGCACTTGCCTTTCTCTGTCTTTCTGAAGTTTGTAATAACTGCGGTGCTAAAGGCCACTTTGCAGTATCCTGTACCCTCCAAAAATGCCCAGTCTGGGTGCAATTTGCACCTGCAGCTGGGTCATCCTAGTCAGTGGACAGAGGCACAGTGTGCCGAGCCAGTGCCCAGGGGCTCCTCCATAAACAGAGGAATTAGAAATAGCTGATTGAATACTGCATAATTTCCTAGGTGTGGAGACTGAGCTGTAGAGGCTTGATAAAGAGGATAAGGCAGCTGAAACTAGGGAGGAAACTAGTGTAGCCCCTCCTGCTGTGTTTGTTACCTTTGTTGTATTAGATTCTGTTGTAATTGTTTCCTCTAGTAATGTGGTCACCAAGTCTGTTCCATCTGTGGTGGTAGCTAATTTTGGTGTGCACAGATCCTCCAGTCTAGCAGATGCTGCTGGAGAGGCAGGTTTAGTGGATCTTTCCCATTGCACTGCTCCTCCTCCAGTCTCTCCGCCTTGACAGCACAAATGTGGCAAGGAAAGTGTGTAGGTGATGGATGGGGGTGGGGTTGATGGGGTTGAGGTAGGTGTGTCCATGTCCAATGTCTAACCCTCTGTTGAGGGAGATTCAGCTCATCAGAGGTGGGAGAGGAGAGAGAGGAAGAAGAAGAAGAGGTGGGTGAGTAAAGTGGTGCTTTCTTTGCATTCGGACACAGAAGAGATTCCTCTTGGCAATAATTTTTCAATTTTATCAGTGGATGAGATGGTGTCGGAGTTTTGTATCTTTTTATTACCTATGGATGAGGGGGAGCCATGAAGGGGAGCTGTTTTGAGTGATGAGGGTGTAGTAGAGGTTAGTAAATGACTACCCCGATCATCCTGATGGCAGTTCCCACTCCATTATGGGTGGTGACCATTAACCAGTTGACATCCGCGGTGTTAAACCCCCTTCCCATCCAGGCCATTTTTCAGTATTCAGCGCTGCGGTACTTTAACTGACATTTATTCCGTACTATGGACCCGCCGATCGCCTATATGTGAAACACCCGGTACCGGGTGTTCGCATTGGACGGGTCTTTTCTGCCCGTGCGTGCACGCTAGGGGGCGCGCGCGAGCAGAAAAAAATTGCCGTCTGGAGACGGCAACCCGCAGATGCTGCAGTGCCTACTACTACGGGCGGACGGCAAGAGGTTAATGTCACCAGCATTAAATGTGCTCATGATATAGCCTTAGTTTTGCTCAGCAAAAAAGGAGTGAAGGGGTGGTCCCTCCTTTTGGTCTCTTGGGGGTACACCTTGCACCTGGGCCTGATAAATATTTATGGACCACAGTCAATATAGCACAGTAAATGTGTTTTTACAAAAGATCAAGCCCTTCCTTTTATGTGGGTTATTTAAATTGGAAAGCAGGGTGGTGGATGCCAATGCAAGGTAGCAAACTGGAAAAGATGGAGATTTTCCTTGAGGAAGAAGGTTGACTTGATCAAAACCCACTTGATCCTGATCATTATATACGTATGTCAGCCTTGTCTGTATCTTGCTGGTCTCTCTCTATATAAGGGTCTACAGCTGTTTTTTCCAACTGTTATGGGGAAATATCCTGAACCTTATCAAACAGAATGTAACTTACCTGTCTAGGTGAGAGGGCAACCTAGGAATGGTCAATTCAATCTTTTTTTGTCTTTGCACTTTATGAAATACAATCTTGGTAATGTCAGGAGGTATCGTCGGCCTGGACCGTGAAGCGCAACCCACTGGCAGGAACGGGCACAAGTCCGAAAACGAGGTACAAAAGGAGCAGTCCAAAGGGGAAGTCAAAGTCCAGTCTGGGTCGAGGCAGGCGGCTAGATTCAAGAACGCGAAAGCAGGCCAAGGAGTCAGCAATGGGAAGTCAGACGAGGGGTCAGGAAATGGCAGTAGCAGCAAACACAGGAGGCTAGGTGATTGCACCATATAGGTAGAATAACTCAGCAATGAGCCAGGGCTCTGACTGGGATTTATACCCAGTGGGAGCTAGGATCACCCCTGGTTGTCGAGGCAACCAGGAGGCTTCTCCATCCGGGAGCCAATGGCAAAGAGAAAGGCAGAAGGTGTGTGCTGGGAACCTCTCCTAGCAAGGCCCACACCTGACACCACTAATGGGCGCGGGCTCACTATGCAGTCTTTCCACCGCGTGCGCACCTGCCATGCTTTTCGTGCATGCGCACCCGCAACCCTGGCGCCAGGAGTCCTGCCAGGAAGGAGACCCCGTGCCCTATGCCGCAATTGGCAACCCAGAGGAGCGCTAAGACCCCCGGAATCCTGACAGGTAATACGTTTACAGAGACCTTTCCATAATGGTTAATATTTTTCAGTAATTGTTTAGGCCTTTTCTGTGATGCTGGGAAAATGGTGGACCAGTGAAAAGTCTTAGAGTCAGACATGGTAGGCCCCCAGCTTATGTTGACCCATGTCTTAAAATACTTTGGCAGTGGCAGGTGACTGCGCTGGATATTAGGTCCCACCCCTGGAAGGTCCTTGAGAAGAGGATTTTTCATTCTGCTTTTAGATATCACTGGCCTTAAGGCATTTTTCCGGCTTTGTTATGAGGCAGGAATAGCATTTAGTAAATTTGGAGAGAATAGGGACCTAGCCTGTCATGCTTTCCATGGTAGGCTCTGTGTAAGGGGGGACCTGAAGCATCTTGCTTTAGTGTCTCTTTAACACAGAGGTGTACAAAATGGTAACAAGGGCTCTAGGCATCCCCTTCCTTACTTGCATGTTATGCAAATTACTGGGCATTCCTCACTCCCTAGGTTTGCTGGGAGTTGTCTGTTAGTTCACGTGGAATTGCCAGATTTCCTTATGACAGAAAATCCTCTCTGTTTAGGTGGTGGTGCACGAAATTCTGGGTGGGATAGGGAAAATGTAAGGGTCTGGGGCAGGGAGCCTTGGGTGATCTTGAAAAGGGTGCAGAGGAATATCAGACCTTCCTTTGGTGAACTGTCCATTTCTGGGTAAGTGGCCTTTTTTTATACCATTCTTTCCACTACCTTAATCTTTGTTGTTTAGTGTTTAGTATTTAGTAGGGTTGCATGTATGAGTGGTGTGGGTTTGTTTCTTGACCACACAGTTTACATTTTTGGTGTAGTGTTGTGATTATTTCCCTCCAGTAATGATTACATAATTTCACTTATTTTCTTTTGGCATAAAGCCATCTTTTGTTTTGTGCTTACTGTTTGCAAGATTTTTTGTTTATTGCTTGCAATAATAAAGAAAAGCTGAAGAAGGGTTACCTTACATTAGTGGTCAGTGGAGAAATGCAACTTTAGTCCCCTTTCACATGGGTATTCTGATCAGGTCCGCCTGACAGTTTTTCAGGCGGATCTGATTGGAAACCCAATGTTAATATATGGGCAGCTGAATCTTAATGGACGGGTGTCCATTTAAAGCCGATTATCCCCGACTCTGACCAGGTCTATAGTTTCGATTTGGAGGACCTGATCATGCCTGATGTAAACGGACACGTCAATTTACATTTGACTCCACATAGACAAACACGGGTCTGGTAATTTCAGTTTTTTTCTTCATCGCAAGATATAGCAAATAACTGGAGGGACAAGGATGTCACCAAAGCGCCTGTGTGAAGGGGGTCTAACATTGGTGGTCAATGGAGAAGGGTTTCTGCTTATATTGGTAGTCAGTTGAAAGTAGGGCTGCACCGATACCACTTTTTTAAGACCGAGTACGAGTACCGATACTTTTTTCAAGTACTCACCGATACCAATTACCGCTACTTTTTCTTAAAGGGACAGGTCACATTTTTTCTAAAGCAATACAAAATCATGATTTTAGGTCAGTTTCTTAATATTATGAAGAACATGAACATGAAATGAATATTTATCATGCCATTGCTAACTAAGGCTTGTATCCCCATAGTGGGGAAAATAGATGAGCACATGTAGAGACAGCAGCTGAGCAGCTGAGCTGTGAGCAGCCAGTGGACTCAACCACTTCAAACCGCAAGTAACCCTGCCTGATTCAGGCTATTCTTAGAAAGTGTCAGCTGGGGGTCTATTGTGGCTGTGCATAGTATGATACCATTGCTAAACTGCTTACAGTGTATGTGATAAGTTAGTGAACCATTCCCATTTCAATAGCAGTGTTAACCTATCTGTTGTACATAGCAATACTCCTAAACTATCCTGATAGTTTATAGCCACATCCTTCTGGAAAGAAGTACTACTTCAATACAGCTGAATTCACTCCTTGTAACCTGTGATTGACACATGATGTTATAGAGGGTTCCACCATCACTCCTAAACCATACAGAGTGCGAACGTGAACCCTTGAGCTGAGCCAATCTAAAACAGGTGTCACTCTAACTCCGCAGCTGAGATCCCTCGATAACTCCTGGGCCAAACGTTACAAACTATTCATTTCATTATTCAATGCCTTTTTTTTATATTATAAAATTTATAATATAAAAAAAAGACATTGAATAATGAAATGAATATTTAGATCATGCTATTGCTAACTAAGGCTTGTATCCCCCTAGTGGGCAAAATAGAAAAAGAATAATGGCCATTACATTGGTGGTCAGTAGGAGGAATAATGGCTATATCATTGGTGGTCGCTGAAAAGAATGCCTTGTTACATTGGTGATCATCAGCAAAAATGTCTCATTACATTGGTGTTTAGTTGAAAAATGTTTTCTTACATTAGGGATCAGTAGTAAGAATACCACCCTTACAGACTGCTGAAAGATTATTTGTGCCTCCCCTGCTTCATGCCTTAAGGAACCTCAAGCAACCTCGGGAGGAATGCCAAGGTTCCATGGAACCATGGTTGGAAAAGGCTGCTCCATGCATTTACTAGCACTTTATGCTGTCATTATACTTTTACAAGCACCATAGGCTGTAATGCATTGATTGGCAACAGAAGATTACATTACAATACTAATCATGTCATTTTGCTTACCCAGTTGATCACACTGTGTTTCCATGTCCATATTCTTAAACACTAGCTTTTCAATCTTTTTTAGGCTTTTAAATTCATCTGGCAAAAGTCCAATGATTTCCCAGTCACCAGGTGGGCATTCCACCTCTAGTTCCTTCATCTCTTTGAAATGGTGAATGTTTGAAAGGATGTACTCTGTAGAAGATATTACACAAGAACTACAGTGTGATATTTAAGTGACAAAAGAAGAAAAAAAAACATTTTGTGTATAGGAAACCATGCAAAGTATGCTACTGGCCACAGGTTCTCTTACAGTCCTACCTTCACTCCTGTTAACACTATGTCAATGTGTGTATACCATAAAACATAACGTGCACTAAGATGCTTCTGCCTTGCAGGGCTAATTTTACTTTTGATGCAACGTTGCTTCTAATTGTGGTTGTAATACACTTCCAGCAGGCAATCTGTCATTCAACACATTGCAGTATATACAGTTCTAACCATTGGCTTTTCTAAACTGCTGTCTTAGCAGTACAGATTGGCCAAGACTGTGATTGGGCATTGTTACATCTTTGGAGGACTAAGGGTTAAAGGGTAAGAAAACTTGCACACAAAGTTTCCTTACTGTTTTGCCCCCAACCCCCTAATGGTAGCTCACCCTAAATCTATATAATACACTATATATGCTATATTACCCAGATCTCACTCAGAGAACCACGACATTGTTAACTTTCTCCACCAGCTTGTTGATCCAATGTCCACATGTGCACAGCTTATGAATAAGAGTCAATCCATCAGATCAAGAAGCTGGTGGAGAAATACAAAGGCCACGGGCCTCGGAGCAAGATCCAGGTAGGGATAGCGATGGGAGAGGGAGAAGCTGTATGGACTAAAACTGCTTAGGGGTGGGAGAAATAGGGTAAGGAAACTTTGTGTGAAAGTTTTCTTACTCTAAAGGTTTTACGGTATGTTAAAGGTTAGGAGACAGATTGAAGTGCATTTGTACTAAAAAAAAAAGCAAAGATTTGCTTTGTTATAGGAAATAATTATAGGGTTAACATTGCCTAAGGTATACCCTGAAGTGTCTAAATGTTTTCCTGAATTCCTCCCGGTGAGTAGCAATGCAATTTCTCACATGTGACTGTACCTAGTCAATCCTGTTCTTTAGTTTAGAGTATATATGAACAAAGAACTTATCGTATTTGCTCATTTTTTGGCTGTTCAATACAGTGTGGAGCTTTTTCTATCCTACATAAAACACACTGACACTAACACTGCAAGGTGACCCTAATACTGACACTAATGCTAACCTAGATCAAACCTATTTTATTTCTATTTTTTAAGACTTTGTTTTCCTTTACAGACTTCTCCTTTGAGGATTAAAAGATACAGTGTATCGTTTTCTTCTCATAGAGCTATGACAATGATCACATGATTGGGAACTGGCTCCCTAGGAGTCCCGTGCTGAGGGTGCACGCAATCGAACGCATTCCCGCAACAAAAACATGGCCCATACATGAAAGCCCTCCTCTGTGGCACTGCATATATGTGTTACGTCGGCGAAAAGAGGTTAAGAGAATGTTTTTGTGTATACATTGTGTAAAGTATTAATATTATTATCATTAGGGATGCACCGATACCGGTATTTCGGTATCGAGTACAAGTACCGATATTTTTTTACGGTACTCGCCGATACCGAATACCGAGTATCGTAAGTCCAATTCAAGAAGCCAGGCGGCGTGTAATGGCTCACCACCTGGCTGACGAGGGAGCATGAAGCCGGCTTCCCTATGCGAGAGCATGGAGCCGGCTTCCCGGCCAATCAGGAAGCCGGGCAGCGTGTAATGACGCGCTGCCCGGGTTCCTGATACCGGAAGTATCGGGCTAGGCATCGGAGCATTTGGGCGAGTACGAGTACTTGTTCAAATACTCGGCACCGATACTAGTATCGGTATCGGTGCATCCCTAATTATCATTGTTATTATCATTACTATTTTTATATAATTTTGGCATCAAAGGCTTTAGAAATGTTGTAATGCTTACTTTATATCCATGATCTGTCTAAGTATGGTCTCTGCTGTTTACCTGGTGGTGGCATATCATTTATTTGCAGGATTTCCAGCGAAGTCATATCTGTAATTAGTTCTTGTTCCTCTCTGGAAAACGCTGACGTCTTCAAGCTTAATTTCATAATAGAAGCCTTGTACAGGTCAATAATAGGCCAAATGATATTCAGAAATCCTGTGCAGTTAAGTAAGTCTAATTCAATGCGATTAGCTAGACTGCAGAAAACCATAAGGTTACCTAGGACATTTTCATTCTCGACAGTACAACTATGAGCTTTAATTCTTAGCACAGAAATTTTGTGATGATCAGGGTCAAACCCAAGCTTGGACAGATCTGGAACCTTTAGACGTTTAATGTATTTCAAATCTAGTATATTTTGTTGAATGTCTGAAGTAAGCTGGAATGCTTTGGAATAGTCTTCGTCAATTGTTGGGACAGGCCAAAGAGATTTAAACTCTTCTGAATTCCAAAACTCGGGGATTGTATTCTTCATAGTATTAGGTACATGTACCTCCAGGCTCTTTATTAGCATTAATCCTTCAGGATATTTGTGCAGGAATTTAATCAGCCAAATGTCTGGTTTTGCCCATATTATAATGTCTTTGTCTTTGAGAAACTGCAGAATAATGGGAGCACAGTGAGCCAAAAATGTACTCTCATTTGCTATGTTAATAGAAAACTCAAGCAACATCCTGACTACAGAGTGATGGGAATGCTTTGGATTAATGATGCTGAGAATAGAATCAATGCTGCTCATTTCTAGAATAGGAGGGTGAAGATTTGTACCTCCTTCATGTGCAAATGCTTTTGGATTACTCATCAAGCTGAAAATATGAGAGATGATCAGTGTGGCTGTTTTTGGAGAATGCATGCATGCGTTCTTCAAGAAAGAGTAATAGCGCCCATTAACACTTGAGAAAGTGTTAATTTTCTGCAGATAAGATAAGCCTTTTTCATTTTTTGCAACATCTTCCAACTGTAGAAGTTCATTCATTTTCCTACCAGCTAAGTATTCCTGGAATGAGGGATGAAAGAATTTGAAAATGGGCTTGAGCCTCTGTGACGTAAACCTACTCAATAGGCCAAACCGAAGGGCATCATCACTTTTTACACCAGCTTCAACTAGATACTGCTGAGTGAATTCAAAGCGAGCTTGGAAGATACCTTCTAGGGCAAGCTGTCCACAGGACAACACTGCAGCTTCTAGTTTCTCTTTTTCTGTTCCGTATTTCAGGATTTTGTGCATCAAGTAAGTCATACAGATAGAAAAGTCTACTGACATGTTTTTAGCTGAGTTTTGTACCCAAAAAACACAAAGAGCAAAAGCAAATAGAGGTGTCTTTAAAGCTGCCTTGAGTGTGGTAGATTGCATCAAGTGCAGGCTAAAGCTTTCAAGAAATATTTTGTTATGCGAGAAAAGCTGTTTGAAAATGTATAATGAACTAAAGAGAGGAAAGTCCTGAATACTCAGTATGTTCTTTGCATATTGTCGCACCTTGCATGAAGCACTGGTGCTCACTGCGACTGCTAGAGTCATTCTGTTCCAGCGGTTCTTTAATAGTTCTTCAACGGCTTCAGATGCCGAGTCTGCCAAGCCATAATCATCCAGAAGCAACAGCACTTTGTCATTTAACTGCTGTATCATTTCTCCCAGAGACTCCTCAGTGAGAAGTGCAGCAGATCCCATCAGTTGCTGGCAGATGATGTCACAGAGAGATTGCTGCCTCTCAGCAGAGGATACAGAGATATAAAACACAAGGCTGAACCTGTTGAGTATAGGACACTTTCCAGAGGCCCAAAGAATGGCAATCTTCTTAAGCAGTGCTGTCCTCCCACTGCCAGCTTCTCCTTCTATTATAGTGATGTCTCTTAGCTCTGACAGAACCTCTGGTAATGTAAGCTGCCGCAATGGGCGATTTCTAATGTCCTTTAACAGAATGCAGATATCAGCAAAGAGTGACCTCAGATCTACAGAAATATGGGAAAATCCTGGAAATGGTGACATCTTGCTGAAGGTAGAATCATTATAGACATCAATCAGCTGCTGTCTTAATTCCCTTGTTTTGTCAGTCCAATGCACATTGTGGATTTTTAAACCTGGCAATAAAAAAACTATAAATAGAAAGGGCTGTATATGCACCAACCTTTACATTTTGTAATGAGTTTGATATACAGACTTACAGCTCTCTATGCTATGAAGCTCTTTCCAGTCCACATCTTGATCAGGCTGGAGAGAGAAGATAGAAATGTCTGAGTAAGGGAATGGAGATAATCAATTTTGAAGAACTTTATCAGTCTGTGTACTACAAATGGCCTTGAGCATTGCTGTTGTATGTCCCAAGTTCTAAAATAAATGTTTGTGTAAAAGCAAAGGAGAAAATTGATTAAAGAGGGACTTTAACTATATCTTCAAAATAACAACAAACACCCCTTCAGAAATGTTTAGTAATGAAAATCTACAAACACATACCTTTAATTAATTTCAGGCTTTGTATTCTTTATATACCTTATTTCTCTTTTCTTTCCCATGTGACCATGTTTACTACGGGTAGATTGCCATATCTCCCTTTACTTCCTGGATCTCTGGCACATGTGACTAGGACATGTGACTAGGGCATATGACCATGCACATCATCTCAGGGGAGGAAAATGCCTTTCCCTGAGATCTCATGAGATTACAGATACGATTTCCCAGCAATGTTCTGCTGATGTAACCTTTCCAGGATGCAAAGCTTTGGCACATACATAATTTGTGCCAGAAATGGACCAGGAAGTAGATGAACTCTATTTGTAAGTAAATAAAAAAAACAAGTGTGTTTAGCTAATGAATGTAAACTGATTTTAAATCCGCATGCCCAGTTGTATGCTGATGTGATTTTTAGTGAAAGGGGGTACACTTTAAAGACGTTCTCACCGAAAGACTAACATTTTTGTTTACTTTCATGGGGTAAGAGAAAGCTTTGGAAAGCATTGAGACAGAGATATGTAGAGCACTCTCTTAAGCTGCCGTAGACTGTTCTATTTTTTTTGTTCAACCAGTAGGCTGAACCCCTTCAATAAAGGACGCTTCCCCCAGGCCCAAAGAATGGTAAATCTTCTTAAGACACAAATATTTAGAACACCAATCAGCAGGCTGAACAAAAAAAATGGAAAAGATTCCTCCATCAATGTTATACAAGCACTGATCAAGGAATCCCCCCCGAAGAACCGTCCAAAATTTGTATGGCCAGCTTCAGAGTCTTTGTAAAAACTACCGTGTTTCCCCGAAAATAAGACAGTCTTATTTTTTTTTTCACGAAAAAAGACACTAGGTCTTATTTTCGGGGGATGTCTTACCTGGCTGCAGCTGTCCGCTCTGCCGTCCAGGGAGCCACAAACAGGTGGGCGGGCATGCGGGCGGAGGGGGGCATGTCTGGCAGGGGGGCGGGAGGGAGCTGCCTCTCCGCTCTGATGCAATCCATGGAAAAACAGACAGGTGGGCGGGCATGCGGGCGGAGGGGGGCATGTCTGGCAGGGGGGCGGGAGGGAGCTGCGGCCGGTCTTCACATGTAAAATTTAATTACATGTGCAGCTAAACCGAAGGTAAGACCTAGCGCTATCTTCAGGGATGTCTGTAATATAAGACCTACCACCGAACTAGGTCTTATTTTCAGGGTAGGTCTTATATTACAGAAATCCCCGAAGATAGCGCTGGGCAGTGGCATCACGCGGGGGGTGCGGCCATTGGAGGGGTGACACTAAAATGACTCAGTCATTTTGGTGTCATTTCGGGGTAGGTCTTACTTTTGGGGAAAGCAGGTAAAGATCTAATACGACCATTGGTTGTATGTGCTGATTTTTTAATACAGCATAATTATAGAGTGCTTATTAAGGGAGTTGACTCAAGACATATTTCAGATAGGTGTGGACTCTGGTAGCTTCTTTAGATATATTTACATTTAAATATATTTTGGATTCTAGAGGGGAGATCTCATCACCAGAGTTCCTGGCTCTGCGCTCTCTGCCTGCAATCACTGCCTGAAATTCAGAAATTTTGGGAGAACTACCCATAGCTACAATAGGACCAAAATTCTGTTTTTTTTTCCCCCCTTATTTTCATTGTTTTGAATTGCGTTAGCTGTTTGATGGACACAAATATAAAACGTTTGTATGGACTCTGATATCTGTTTAGGTTTGGAGTTCTTCTGTTTTCTATGAGTTGCTCCTTTTGGAAGCTATGTGTAACGCCCTACTGTATGCTCGGGGGTGAACCACAGCTGCGGAGGCGGACTAAGTATGAGGAATGCTGAAGGGTTATAGTAAGGCAGTCCGTACCGAACTCCAGGCGTCACTCTCAGTCTCACAAGCGGAGAGTTTGGAGTTCTGACATAATTTGCCAATGTGTGAGGGTTTCTTGCTACCTGGAGTACAAGCTGGACGGGTATTACCTCATACCCCCCCAGAGATGTCTACATCAGGTGGAGTGAAGGTAAGTATTGGGCAAAGTAGTAACACACGCTAATATCTTCTTCCCCCAGCACAATTCGATGTTAACTAGAGTCAATTTATGCAACACATGAGAGATTAAGGCTGGGTTCACACCTAGGCGTATTGAATATGCGTGTTTGTCGTGCGGTTCGCGTCGCGCGTTTTTACCGCGGTTCGCGGTAAAAAACAAGCGAGCGTTTCCGTGGGCTACTTGGCTGTATCCCAATGGAAACGCGAGACCAAAACGTCTCAAAGAAGTACATGTACTTCTTTGGGCGTAGGCCGTTTTGTATCGCGTTCGGACGGGCGGAAATACGGCAAGGTGTGAACCAGACCCCTTGATACAATGGGATTTAGATGTTTGAGCGTTTTGTAGAGCGTTCGTCGAGCGTTGAACGTGCTACAAAACGTTCAGATGTGAACCAGGCCTGAAGGTTATCACATTCCAGTATAATGCAGCAGGGCTGCTCCCATCTCCAGCAGGCAACGTGACACAGATAATTGGACAGTCTTGTCTCCAGTAATCAATATAGGGTACTTGCGGTTTGTGAACCATGTTATGATGCATAGGAATCCAGGAGAGTCGGCCCAGGCTCCACTCCTAGGGACAAGCACCGTAGGCTGCACTTCTGAGGGGTTCGGGAGTTTGCAGGGTGCACACTCCACAATAGTGGAACGCCGTGCAATCCTACCGATCCGTCTTTTAACCGGAACGCGGAACTGCGGGTGGGAGGAGCCGCATGACGTCCTCGGTGCCACCGCATTCCAGCGTGGAACGCAGCGGCGCCTCTCGTAGCGGTGGATGCGCCGTAGGCTGCTGCGTTCCAACATGGAACGCAACGGCGGATTCCCTTACACTATACATCTTTGAGCTGCCTAACCATAAGTTAATAAGCTACCTAGAAGTAAATTTGGGGCCATCATAAAGGATAACAAGAGACTCCTCCCAGGATCCATGAGATATTCTCGCTCTCTCCCATGGTGGCCAGCTCAAGTCTAACTTAAATTTGATCTAAACCCAAGAATGAAAATGAAATATATTGCAGTTTAACAGTCCTTGGATGTGGTGGCTGCATCAATATGCTTTTTTCTGTATTTTTTTCTCTTTATTTTCACCTGGAGTTTCTGCCAGTAACACAAATCCTGTCCCAGGGTAACAGTGCTTAAGTAGAGTATACACTGAGTGAATTTAGGACAGTTCTTAATGAACCGGCTGAAATTCACACAGTTCCTTCTGCCTGGCATCCCTTGGTCAGCTGATCAAAGGAGCAGGTTGGAAAATTATTGGCCGCATGAAAACACTCGGAAGAGTTGATGGAGGAATCTGTTTCATCTATCTTCATGTCTATTCCAGGTTGCCATCAATTAACAAACAGCAATAAAATACAAAAAACAAACTAAGCTCATAAAGATTCAAATTACCTAAAAAAGTTAACAGTGAATCAGGAATGTAAATGAAACATCACGTGTAGGCGTTAAAAATGCATATTTAACTATAATTGCTACTGCACATTTAACTATAGTTTTTATTGTAAATTAAACTGTATAACAATATCAAATAATAAAAGATAAATATGATTTACCTGATCAACTAATTGCACATGTTGACTGTCTATATGACTGGAATTTTCACATTTTATTTCCAACATTCTCCTCAAAAATGCGCAACTTAAGAAAAGGATGAACAGCCAATAAGATAATCAGAAAGATTTTTTTTTAAACTGAATATCTTACTGCTTGGCAGGTTTACTTTAAAGCTGAACTCAAGGTATTTAAAAAGGCACAAATAATGCAGATCTATTATTTTTAATACATCAATTCAATACATTTATTTATTTATGTCACTGGTGTAAATACATGAAAATGTAAATTGGTGTCAGCCTCTGCCAATCCCTGTACAGCAATTCCAAAGAGGCATCACAAAGGGGGTGCATGGTGTGCGGCCCGCACCAGGTGACACCATGACAGGGGGTGACAGTCATTTGGGTGTAGCCCCCACTGGGTCATGGACAGCTACCTGAGAGAGGAGGGGACCTGGCAGCATACCTTATCCTGCTGGATGAATGTCCCCCCCTCCAAGATGAATGCCTGCAGTGAAGTGCACATGATGTCAATACGTGCATGCGTAATGACGTCAAGTGTATACATAATGTGCGCACCGGGTGACACCTAGCCTGTTGAAGCTGCTGCAGAACTCAGAGTAGGAGAAGAAGAAGCAACAGAAGAAGTCAATAAGTTCATGATTAGATAAATGTAATATTCTGTTCTTTCCTGTTATTACTCAAGTATTATGGTTTTGAACACTTAATATGCATCTCACGCTATAGATTTTCATGTGTGTTAGATTGTGGCAATTCATGCTGACATTTTTTGCAATAGACAGTTTGATTTATTATACAAAATGTTACAAGTATTTGCTCATAATCAATGATGTGTATATGGAAGTTTAATTTATAGGTTACTTGTAATATGTGTGCAAGCAGTTAGGCTTGGCTGCTGTCAGTGCACAGCATGAAAGTGCCAACAAGTATTTGTAAAACACTCATTTAAAGAAGAACACCAGGAATTTTTTTATTAACCCTTGCAGTGGAGATACCCCCACACTGCAAGTGCTCGTTTGTGTCTAGGGACAAAAAAAGTTATACTCAACCGATGCTCCGAGCCAGCTTCTTCTTTTACCAGACCGGTCCTTTTAGTGTCTCCCTCCAGGAGGCAGCCTGGAGGGATTGCCGTGACAGCTGGATGGCTCGGAGCTTTAAGTGATTACATCTTTGTTATTTTTTGTCACTAGACACAAACGAGCTCTTAACCCTTGCAGCGTGGGATACCCCCACTGCAAGGGTTAATAAAAAATGTTCCCGCAAGTGTAGCACCCTGGAGGGTTTTCTACCTATTCCACTCTGTCAGACAGCACTGTGATACTAGATACCAAGTAAACATCGAATGGCAACCAGAACAATTTCTTTAAATGGAAGAAGGTTTTATAACATTGTATACTTACTCGGAGCTGTGTTTAAGATGTTCAGTCATTGCATCTTCCCCAGGTTGAAATGAATGAATGCAGATACCACAAGTGTAGCAGCTCACTGCATCCTTTTTTCCTAAAATCATATGGACAGTTCACTTGACATTCTTTTTCAAATGTTTTAATGATTTATAAGCTTTATTTACATAGTTACATTGTAGGTGAGGTTGAATCAGGTCCATCAGGTTCAACCTATATGGTGTGTGTGTGTGTGTGTGTTTAATGTTCGGAATTTCAACAACACTGTATGTTTTGTGAACTGAGCAACACACCCAAGTGTTTTTTTAAGTAGTTTATGTTTCCCGCTGATACAGCTATCTGTGGAAATGAATTCCACATCTTTACCACTTTCAAAGTAAAATACCCCTTACGCAGTTTACGATTATACCTCGTCCTCTCCAACTTCTTGTTTTCCTCACGGTACTTAGTTTAAGTAGTGCGTTCCCAATATCACAGTCCCTACTGATGAGTTTGTATACAGCGATCATGTCACCTCTTAAGTGCTTCTTCCCTAAGGAGAACAATCTTAATTTTTTAAGTAATTCTCGATATCTCAGACCTTCCATCCCCCTTATTCATTTGGTTGCCCTTCTTTTCTAGCTCACGGACATCCCTCCTGCGGATTGGTGACCAGAGTTACACTGCATACTAAAGATGGGGCCTTACCAGTGTTTTGTGAAGGGGCAAAATTACATTTCTATCCCGTGAATAAATCCCTTGTCACGGTCTAGGGACCAGGGCACTAGGGTACGTGAGCTCCTGTGTTTGCGGAGTTGGTAGGAGTCACAAAGAGGCGGGATATCGGGGATGTAGGTCACAGGGAGAGAGGAACGAATGGTCTGTGCGTTCTGAGGACGCACTAGAGGCGCAGAATCTAAGAAGGGCCAGGTATTCGACAGAGCCTCTAGTGGTGAGGATGATTGGCTGCTGGACACCTTCCAGGTTGCGGCCCTCTAGCGCACCCACACAGACGCAAGGGACTAGTTGAAGCAGCGGGGAACTGGATACAAACAGGTAGGGAAGAAACTTGTAACCAAGAGGGAGGAAGACAGGAAGAGGGAGAGAGAGAGAGAGAGAGAAAGTCTCAAGCAAAAGTGCAAACGCACAGCAGAACAGCAGTGTATACTGAAGAGAATAGATAAGCAAGGACACCAGGGAAGGGTAAGCAGCTTAGAGGCACACCTAGGAGCAGGAAGGTGCAACGTACAAAAGTAAACGAGATGTGCGTGGCACATGCATACAAAGAAGCAGGATAACAGAGAGAAAAGTACACAAAGAAGCACAAAAGGGATGTATGCACACAGGGGTGTGCAGACAAGGATGAATCCAACACAGCCACCAGGTAAGAGAGGAGCACAGAAATAAAGGGGTGACAGCAAAGCAAAGGAAGATACACCGGAAGGTAAGTGACGGAGTAGAAGTACAACAGTAGTAAATAGGAGGAAGCAAACAGACAAAGACTGGAGAGGGAAAACACAGTAGAAGTAAGGCAATGAAGGCAGTTTGGAGAGGCGCACAGGTGAAGGCAATTAAGGCCTGCAACAATATACTAAAGGAACCACTGAAATACTATAGTAGGGGTGCAAGGAGCAAAGCAGGGGATAACGCCAAACAGGGATACCACCTGGTAGAGGGGAGCCAAAAGGCACAGGGATCCAATAGCAAGCGCAGGGAATAGGATCCCTGGGGTAGTCAGAGACACAAGGGGTACGGAACAAGGCAAAAGACTTGTTGCTCGCACCAAGAGCAACAAGTGAGGGAGTCCTAAATAGGGGAGAAGGAGAGCAGATTGGCTGCAGCCTTGTGAGACACCATAGGCTGACAGCCCAGAAACAGGGGGCAAAGTGAAAATCCGGCACGGATTTCCGGATATTGTGACATCCCTCTTTTGAAGCAAGATAATATACAACTAGCTTTATTAGCTGCAGCTTGGCACTGCATGCTATTACTGAGTCTGAGGTCTAAATCTAGATCCTAATCCATCTCCTTTTCCCCCTGTGAAACACCACCTAAGGTGTATTCAGCATGCGTGTTCTTAACTCCCAAGTGCATGAGCTTAAATTTATCTAGATTAAAGCTCATCTCCTGTATAGCTGCCAGCTCTCTAGTTTTATAAAGGTCTTGCTGCAGGGATTCTGTCATATTGCGATCTTTTTTCCTTGCACAACTTCTATCCCCAGCAAGCTATTTATTCCAACCTCACTGTCATTTATGAATAGGATAAACAGAATTGGCCCCAATACATAACCCCGGGGCACTCCATTTAGAACTTTGGACCATTTAGAGAATGTGCCATGTATCCCTTCCCTCTGGATGCGGTCCTGCAACCAGTTTTCTACCCATGTACATATTGGTTCTTCAGTGCCCATTGACCTTAGTTTGTATACCAACCTTTTGTGGTGTGCTGTATCAAACACCTTTGCAAAGTCTAGAAAGACTAAATCAACTGGTATTCCCTTGTCCGCCATACAACTTACTTCCTCATAGAATGTTAACAGATTTGTCTGGCAAGAACGGTCTTTCATAAATCCGTGTTGGTTCTTGGTTATGATACTATTCACGCATGGAAACTTTTCAATATAGTCCCTGACCATTCTCTCAAAAACCTTGCATATTGCTTATGTAAGGCTGACTGGCCTGTAGTTACCTGGTACACATCTTGAACCTTTCTTGCTGTGGAAGGGACCCAACAGACTCCACCAACTACAGACTGCCTGCATTAAAAAAAAAACTAGAGGAAGGGGTGGATACAAGACCAATCCCCCTGCACAAGTAGAGAGATCACCCGGCACAAGGAGAGAGAACAGCAATGACTGTTTTTTATTACAGGAAGTTCCTGCACAGAAGCAAAGATACATTCAGCACTGAGGGTCTCCGGTTCAAATCCCAGTCAGGACATTATCTGTAAGGAGTTTGCATGTTCTCCCTGTGCTTACGTGGGTTTCCTCCAGGTACTCCGGATTCCTCCCACACTCCTAAGACATGCTGGTAGGTTATTTGACTCCTGTCTAAATTGACCCTGTATATGTATGTGAGGATAGGGACCTTACATTTCTAAGCTTCTTGAGGGCAGGGACTGATGTGAATGTGCAAGTATGTAAATTGTCGCCACCATATAAATACCTATACAAATAATGGTGGATTTATTCACTACTTTATAGAAAGAGGAATTAGATATAAATTTTTCATTTGCCAGATTCCCGTTATTTCACTACAGGGCACCTCACTGCTACGCAGCTTCCCTGATTCCCAAAACACCCTATTCTGCAGCTAGCGCCATCACAGCCATGCAGCACCCCTCATTAGCCTGTACCCCTCATTCTAAACCACTGTGTTTCCCTGATAAGGCACCATGTTCGGTCCCGAAACGTAGCTTTTACACTGTGCCACCATACTGTATCTGTATAACATCTGAATAAAAGAGGTGTTCAACACATTGGACCTTAGAGTGCAGTTGACTTGTTTTGGACATTTCTGTGATAATGTGGTGCCATCGGCAGGTCATACCAGCACCCATCTTATGGGATTCCGGTCAGGAGTGCTGTGGATTACACATTACCGATGACCCTAATTCTAAACCAGGGCCTATCATAGCCATGCTAGTGGATGAAGACCTCTACTGGTCACATATATTTAGTACATTTAATGAATTAAGAACTGCTCTTTAATCTTATCATGCATTCATTCAGCATAATCTAAGAGTCAGCCCAATCATTGATGGGTGAGTTTGGTGGACTTTTACCCACTAGCTTCTGAGATCTTGGGGATCTTGGGGACTTCAGCAATAAAAATGCCCTAAAAAATTGCTCTTATCTATCTCAAAGTGTTCCCTTAATGCGTGTTATACTCATAATGATAGCAAATAAATATAAAGTCCAGCACAAAGCAAGCAGTCCCCCTTTGTGCGGGTAATCGCAGGTGTGCTTTATACTACAATACTCAAAGAACACTTTTCAAATATTTTTATTATATTTATTATGTGTTCATTGCCTCATTTGTATTTCCAGTTTTTAAATATCTTTTCATCAACTCTTTTGCTCTTTCTCACATTAATGTAACTTCGGCATTACAATCTGTAGTTAAACAGGTAAAGTAGGAGTCTAGCCAAATGTTTTATTTTATTTAGGTTTGGATAATTAGCAGAGAAGATGCTGTTCACCAGTGGTGACTCCCTGTCCATTACTGTAAGCTGCACTTCCTGTTTCCTCTCTCCAGGGCACATTCTCCATATATTGATATGGAATAACCATTGGAAAGCAGATGACACTATCTATAGCTTCAGACAGATTCTACAAAGGAATATATGGAGAAATTGACCTGATAAGGCATCTTAATGCAGTTTTGCTACTTACAAATGCAATTATTCTGCCCCCCCCCGCCACCTAATATAAACTGGTCATTTGCGCCCCTTGCCAGTTTAGGATGGCACCCCAAAAGCAAAGCTCCCTGGATTTGGTTATAAAAGTCAACACATTTCAAAAACCAACATTTGTTCTTAGGTTTACCATGTTTCTACCTTAACGTGAACCTTATATCAGATATACACTATATTGCCAAAAGTATTGGGATAGCCCTCTAAATCATTGGATTCAAGTTTTCCGATCACCTCCATGGCCACAGGTGTATAAGATAGAAGCACTTAGGCATGCAGACTGCTTCTACAAACATTTGTGAAAGAATGGGTCGCTCTGAGGAGCTCAGTGAATTCAAGCGTGGTACTGTGATAGGTTGTCACCTGTGCAATAAGTCCATCCGTGAAATTTCCTTGCTACTAAATATTCCACGGTCAGCTGTTAGTGGTATTATAACGAAATTGAATCAACAGGGAAACTCAGCCACGAAGTGGTAGGCCACGTAAAAATGACAGAGCGGAGTCAGCGCATGCTGAAGTGCGCAGAAGTCACCAACTGTCTGCAGAGTCAATAGCTACAGACCTCCAAACTTCGTGTGGCCTTCAGATTGGCACAACAACAGTGCGTAGAGAGCTTCATGGAATGGGTTTCCATGGCCGAGCAGTTGCATCCAAGCCTTACATCACCAAGTGCAATGCAAAGCGTCGGATGCAGTGGTGTAAAGCACGCCGCCACTAGACTCTAGAGAATTTGAGACTTGTTCTCTGGAGTGACGAATCATGCTTCTCTGTCTGACAATCCAATGGACGTGTCTGGGTTTGGTGGCTGCCAAGAGAACGGTACTTGCCTGACTGCATTGTGTCAAGTGTAAAGATGGTGGAGGGGGGATTATGGTGTGGGGTTGTTTTTCAGGGGTTGGACTTGGCCCCTTAGTTGCAGTGAAGGGAACACTTAAGGCATCAGCATACTAAGACATTTTGGACAATTTCATGCTCCCAACTTTGTGGAAACAGTTTGGGGATGGCCCCTTCCTGTTTCAACATGACTTCGCACCTGTGCACAAAGCAAGGTCCATAAAGACATGAATGAGCGAGTTTGGGGTGGAGGAACTTGACTGGTCTGTACAGAGTCCTGACCTCAACCCGATAGAACACCTTTGGGATGAATTAGAGCGGAGACTGTGAGCCAAGCCTTCTCGTCCAATATCAGTACCTGACCTCACAAATGCGCTTCTGGAAGAATGGTCAAACATTCCCAAAGACACACCCCTAAGCCTTGTGGATGCCTTCCCAGAAGAGTTGAAGCTGTTATACCAGCAAAGGGTGGGCCAACTCAATATTGAACCCTACGGACTAAGACTGGGATGCCATTAAAGTTCATGTGCGTGTAAAGGCAAGCGTCCAAATACTTTTGGCAATATAGTGTATTTTTTAGTGTTCAAAAGGGGAATTAAAAGAAGAGTTCCTGTAGTAAAATTCCCTCAACAGTTTAAGAGAACAGAGAGCCCCTGCTTTAGAAGGTGGGCAGCGCCATGCCTATTAAAGATGAGTGAGACTGAAAAAAAAGAAGAAAAATAAAAGAAATGCCACTCAAAATTCAACTTTACCTGCATAGAAAAATCCGCATTTGGCAAGTGAAGCAGGATCGATATTGGTATTTGGAGGCCACGTTTTAAATGATTCTAAACGGACATTCTCATCTTCAAAGATGTCCAGGTTGGCAGCACCTGCGAAGAAAAAATATTTCATTACCATATCTAAGTGACCAGCAAACATAAAATTTGAGCAGCTTTGAAGAATATGATTTTATGTAATCTTATGTGTAAAGATAAACCTAGAGATCCAACAACATTTTCTAACCACAACCAGGCTGGTTCTGACAAAGGGGGCGTGCCCCTGAAATGCGTAAATCAAGGCACACAGCGGCTGGAGGAGTCAGTAATGTGACAGTCGTATCTGCCAGCAGGGTGAATTCCCTCCTGAGGATCCTCTGTGACCAGTTGAAAGTGTGATGATAAAAGCATGTGTTCATTTACACTTGTGAGCAGTGACGGAACTACCACCATGCGGTCGCTATGGGGCCCACGGCACTCGGGGGGGCCCGGATCCCCACTGCTCTCCCCTGCTTGTATGGGCTGAGGCAGCGGGGACAAGAAAATAAAATGGACGGCGGAGGAGCCGCTGCCGTCCTGAAAATTTATAGAGTGACTTACATGGTTGGGTTTGCAGAATCCAGTTACTGTTATTATTCATGAAATCTTTTCCCTGTAATGATAAAGAAATTGTTTGAACAATGAATTAGTAAACCAAAGCCTTTGACTTTACAGACAGAAACATATATAAAGCAAACATTTTACCTTCTAACCTGGAAGAATGTGGACAACATTTGGAGGAAAGGATTTACTGTGGAGAGAAGCTGGATATTGAAGTCAAAGCAGCTTTTTTGTTTTCATCCCCTGCTTGAGTTTTGAGGTTTTTCCTCGGTTCATTAGGGATGAGATCAGGTTCAGACTGAACTGTGTCCAAACCTGTGCTCCTCCGATGTGTCAGGGTTTCTTACCATTCTTTGTCCAGTTGCTTGCAGCATGGCTTGTGTAGTGTTTCTGGCACCATTGTTCATCTTTGGCGCCCTCTTGTGCTCAAACCAATTAACATCATCATTCTGCAAATACTGACAAAACTCCTGACACATTCCTGTCTCAGAGTGATGATGCAAACACCAGCTCACTATTTAACCATCACTTTGTCCCTTCAGTCTCTGCCCTTGCATTTTTTCTGATCAACCAATCACTCTGTAGTTGTTCCTGTTCTCCGTGTATGATCCTGGTTCTGGCTGACTGATATCCTGGTTCCTGACTCTGGCGTTGTTTCCATTGTGCATGTATGTTTATTGTTGTTTTCAGTAAACTCCTTTTATACCTTTTTTAACTTTTTTTTAAACCTGCAATTTAAGTTTCTTTTTGGTTTCTTGGTTCCCTGACAAAAAGGAGCTCTTCCAATCATGAAAGGAAGCTCCTTCCCTGCTACCCAATCAGCCGGGGATGGGGAATCCCCTGTCCACAACTTGACATAAACATAGGGGCTGGATGCAGTGATATCATTGCCCTTATTAGCTTACATGCCTATATTTTGTAAGTAACGTTACATAAGTAATTTCATGCTGATTCCCTTTTTGTTTTTTTCTTTGTTTTACTGGTATTATTTGTCCCTTTTATGTTACATCTGTTCCCTTTTTTTTCTGCACATTTTCTTTATTAAGAATGATCTTCTAGAATCATTAAGCTTATCTCTACACTCTAAATAAGAATTTAAAGTATCCTGTCTCTGTGAAGAGAGCTACCATATTGTAAAACCTGTTATATTCCTGTCTGAAGAGACAGAGGGCATCACAGGCATTGCTTACGTTTTGAATTGTCACAGCATTTACTGGGAATGGTGCGAGTTTCTGTTAAAGCATGTAGTGACGGCTATCATTTTGTATAAAGGGTTAACTGAGGAGTTAACCAACCCCAGTGATGATCGCTCTGTCTGCTAGCCTTTGATAGTTGCTGGAAAATCTCTGTGCAGGGTGAGGCTGAGAGTGGTATCATCACATCTTGGTGACAGCAAGTTGTCAGGGAAGAGCAGCAATGCAAAGAAATCACTTTAAATTTTACCCCATAGCTCACCATTAGTTTTCACCATCAACTGATCTTTTTTGGAGTGTAAAATCTTAAGGCTTTAGTGTAACTTCTAAGCATCCACCACCCCAGTCAGTTAGTGCTACACATTGTGGTTAAGAATTCAGTAAAAATAAATAATAGAATATTTTTTATTTAATTATATACTATTACAAAATTAGCGATCCTATGCACCATTACTGTATAACTTTAATACAAACCTTTTTTAATTGCTTTTTTTTTTTTCCAGAATTACAAACCTCAGATGTCCTATTAGTTTTTAGCCTGGGTGACAATGTACAGCTGTATTAGAGATCAAAGTCTGACTTATAAACCAAAACCATATCTACTTACTGTAAATCCTTCAAATCCATTGTATAAATTGATATATTCTTTTATTTCTTCAGGAGTTTTCATACTTTGAAGAAATTCACACCTGTTTCAGTCAACAAAATATAATTTAAATACAGAAATATCACCTTCCAAATTTTACTGACAAAATCAAACTTATAAGTTTACTACAGCATATACTGTATATGAGATAAGCTGACCTAATGTGAATGTACAGTATATCCAAACTTTTTTTATATTTTGGATATAGTAGGAAAGGATTTAAACCTGTCAAGTTTGTATTTCTCTGCATGTTCCTGCTTGGCAGATTCCCCCTCTTTAGTCATTCTGTTGGTGATAGTCATTGAGAATGAAAGTAATGGTAAATCCAAATTTAAGTTCCAGCGACAACTGTCTGAGAAGGGAATTCCTCTCACTACCTGTAGTGTCTCTGCATCAGGAAGTGAAGGAAAATCCCAACAGAACAGAGACAGCATACAAAATAAACTAAGATGTGTTTTTAAAGAGTGCAGGGGTTAGGAATCCAAAACGCAGTCCTGGCCTTAGCCATACAACTAAGCGTTGTGTTGCTTTCTATGTGTGGATGAAGTGTTGTTTCTCAGTAAGTACAGTAGACTAGCTGTGTACCTTATTGTTTCAGGTGATAATGTGTGCTGAATTATAGACTTATACAACAGCAGTAAAGAGTATGGAAAGGGAGCTCATACTAGCGTTTTATGCTGTGCAGTGTGATCTGGACTGCAAAAACATGTAACACTTTTACGTAAAGCTGTGTGTATTCATTTAGCTAGGCATGATTTCTGCTAACTCTCAATCACTGTTGACTGGGCATTACTTCAGTGATGTGCGGACTCTACCATGAATGGTCATGTGAGCTCGTTTTTCTCTTCAGGTTGAAGGTAGAAAAACTTAGGGACATGTTAAAATAGGGTCAGAAAGCTGCAGCACAGACAAGGGCCAAGTAAATAAATAAATATTGCTGCAAATTAGAGTTCAACTTTCACTTGTTATGGACTCACTCAGGAAACCACTTGGCATGTTCTTTCCAGGGATCATCATTTTCTTGCCAGTTGGCGAGACAGCCACCGCAACTGAAACACTGCACTGTGTCTCTTTTATCTAAAAGACACAGCAAAATAATTTAACAATAATCATCATAATAACACACTACATGAATAGTTTCCTGTGGCTGCAGGAAAATCGTACCGTGGCCAATGGCAGGGTGCAAAAATCATTTGAACCTCGCAAAACTCATCTGCACCTCTATACATAACTCATTTAACCTAGACACATTCCTTCCACAGACATTCCAATAGTTTCAGAGAATGGAGATCTGCCATGTGTTTCATACAGAATAGACTTAAGAAAAAAATAGTTGTTGTGAGCAATATTTCAATTGTCATTCATAAGCTGGGAATTTGTTTTCTTTCTTTCCCACAGCAGTGTTCTAATCTTTCCCGCAGCAGTGTTCTCACAAATCAAAAATGTTATTCTATTCAAAAAAAATCAGCAGATGTGTCTCTCAAATAAATACGGGATTCACAAGGTAAAAATCACAGTAACAAATTCACTTGTTCAGTTGGCTATATGTAATTTAGTGTTGGGGACTTTATGATCACTTGTATCATATGTCCCCCTTCAATCTGTGACTGGACAGTGGAAGGAGAAGCAGCACAGTGATAAGCTCCTCTCTATGTCATTGTGTGCTCCCTTACCATCAGCATGATTCTTGTCAGCACATGATCTGATTGGCTGCTTGTAGTGCTTCTTTATCTCACACTCCTGCCCTGCTGTACAGGGATTTCAGGAGGCCAATGCCAGGTCAAATTTAGTACTTACAATATTTGCATTTAAAAAGCACATTTAATGATGAAATAATGATTACAGAGCTGCAAAAATATGTCTTTCATATCTGTCTTGAGTTCACCTTAAACAGTCATTTAAAGTGGAAGTTGTGATGGTAATGAGGCCTGGGCATCCCAAAAGCTAATTAGGAAAACCCAGTTGTCCCCTCCTGTGGTTGAAATAAGCACTTCTGGATATGATCAATTAAGATTCTGATTAAACATACGTGTTTTCTTGTTAAAGGGTCTTCAAAAAGTCATTCACATCCCACAGTCTGCTAAGTACCCAAGTTGTTTTTTCAGGCCTCGCTGTTTATAGTCATAGTTGTAAACCCTTAATGAGAAGTCCCGTAAAGTGATAGCAGCCTGAACACTTGATAGATTCCTGTCAATACACACATAGATGGCCTGGACTGATAATAATGGCAAGGAACCTTTGACTAACCCTGTCAGTACAACTAGTTTACAAATTTCCCTTAGTATTCATTACTTTGGACCTGGGGTGATACAATAATAATGAACATATATATATATATATATACAGGGCTTGAAAAATTTGGC